CTTTTCTTGATAATCCACCCGATACTTTTATTATGGAGTTCAATAACAGAAATCTATTATATAATCTTAAAAATCAACTTATTCGTTTCAATAAAAATAGTAGAGTTCATAATTAATAATATAATTTTTTTTTTGAACATTAAACATTTAATATCCCTGAACTGAAAGTTCGTTATATCGAGGTTTAACTGTAACCAGAATAGCGCTTAATCCCATTATTTATACCTCTGCTAATAATCTTAAAAAGAAACTTTCATTTAACTGTTGTTTTACTCACGTTATTCTAAAAATGTCACCATATCTCAACTTGAATAATAATTTTTACAATACTGAAGTAATTATACAACTATATAGAGTTTACAGATCCTTTTGAAAGAAAATAAATAATTGTCATCGTCATAGTAGTATTGAAAAAAAATGCTTAAATATAGTATAGATGTTGATTGTATTCCCACTACAATACCCGATAATATTTCTCAAAGACTCAACAATTTTCAAGTTACTTCCAACATTTTGAAATTTTATGGTTTAGTAATCAACTGTTCAAGATATTTGAATGGGTTGATTAGAAAGATTTTTTGAAGTTTATAATACATTTGACATTTCTTGAACCGCAAAGGTTAAAAGTAATAAGTAAAAAAAAAATTTCTTTTTATTCTCTATTGCTTTTGATATTTGTCGTGGTATTTTTCGTTAAATTCCTGTTGATCCTTCATTATTACATTTGTTGTGCAAACATTATGATGACATCACATTTGGGAATTTAAAATTACAAATTTTACATATGTGATCGATAAAAATGAATATTATGTACCAATATATTAATTGGATGGCTCCTAAAAAAAAAAAAAATAAGTAAATATATACTATATTGCGAAAATGATTGTGACATTCCGTTTATACTACGTAATTATTAATTGTATATATAAGTCATTCTCCCTACAAAATTTTCCCCGAAGTCACCTGATTTAAAATTGGACGATCAGTTTAAAATGACCTATTTATATAGAATTTTGAATCCCATAATTTAGAAAATCACCAAAATTTACCCTTATATAAGCTTATCAAAACCTATGTTGATAAGGCCGCGGATAGTCTGAGAACGGCGGGCTCCCCTTTTAATAGGTCGCGTCTGAGAACGGCGGGCATTCTGCGGCTGATCTTTTTTTTTAAAAAATTTATTTTTTAAATTTTTGTTTGCAAAGGTAACGAATTTTTTTTATTTATTATTTTTTTTAAATTAAGTTTACTTTGCTATTTTTTCTAATTTAATTTAATTTTTCGGTTTCGGTTTAATTTAAATATCATTTCTAAATTATAAATACTAGGGAACGGGGACCGTTGTTATCTCCGGAACGATCTAAATATTGAGCGGGCGGACATCCGGACATCTTGAGTCATACTGCGTAGAAATATATAGTCCTACGACTAATTACAACATTTGAAACTACCATAAAAATTACGTAGCATTAAACCATAAATATGAAATATTATAATAATAGCCTAACTTGCATTTATCGATTCTCTGAATTATATGTTTAACTCTTTGTTGATGAACCTTGAAAAGTTGATCTATAACACGTCTGTTATAATAAAGTTGTTTTTTTTAAAAAAAAAAAAAAAAAAAAAAAAAAAAGAAAAGAAAAGGAAATCTTTTTCTTTACTTTGGTAAAGAAAATCAGGCGATGCTTCGCCAGGAGGTGCTTGGATTCAAGCGGGAAAGAACAATATTTGAAAAGTTTCAGCTTGCATTTTAGACTTGGGTCCAACAGGTCGAGGTCTTCCCCAAGCGTATTCCAAAATATGTCCTTTTATATCTTTTATATTCAAATTATTATGAGATTGATCTATCGCTTGTTCAGCAGAAGATCTAGTTGCATAATTCACGAAAGTGCATCGTGATCAACGATTAATTTATTTTCTCTAGACGCATAAAAAATCCTCTAAATACGGGAAAACATTCGATGGCCTTAATGGCCTTAACTTCTTGATGGTATAATATTCAAATTACCACCACCTTTCACATCACTGGACGATAACAACCGAAAAGATACCTGCTGGAGGCCTACGTCTATTTGCCTCTTTACAACAATTTTAAATATGATAGTCATCACCTGTTTAATAACCTCTTTGTTGTAATTAAATTTTTTTTTTCAGGTCCGTGCATTATTAATGATTAGTTATCGATCAACAATTCATTAGAGGAGCTTTGACCTTTGATGCGTTTCTTTATTGTTATTTTAGGACAGGTCATAGATATAGAAGTGATTGTGAATTACCTTCTTGATTAATTGGAATACCTTCTAAAATTAGTAATATCATTAATGTAATTGAGTATTGGGAAATTGGGATGATTTCTTTTTTTTTTTTTTTAGAATATATCTTGTAAGTAATTTCCTTTAGCTTTATTATTTGCTGCTTTGTTCCATTTTCAGTTTCCTTAACATCAAACTTTAATTCTTAAGAAAAAAAAACCTGCGATATCAATGGATATCAATAAATGTGCTACAATAAATTCAGAACAACCATTTAAAAAGCAAAAAACTGCTATAATAGACATCCTCTTCGAGATTTATCAATCTTTGATCTTTAATACAAGTTGAAATATGTTCGTTTTTTGGATATTTAAAGTTACCAGCATGGTAACACATAACACTGCGCATCGTGCGATGTGTGACCTGATCAGTGACCCAAAGTGATGAGCCATATTAAATTTTTAAAAACGCGTTTATTTTTAATAAATATGTCTTAGAATCTGGTTTAAATATTTCAACTAAACGTTATAAACCTGGACCACATGCGTTCAATTTACTGAACAATATTTCCTTAAACAACAAAAAATTCTTCTGGCTTGATTTAATAAATAACGTTATTAATAAGTTTTCGGCATGTCATTTTACAAAAAATGTGTCAAAAAAAATTTATTGATAAGCCGAAAAATTCGTACTCAATTTTTTAATTTGATCACGGCGATCAAAAATCCGACTACTATAATTGCAATAAGCCTGATCTAAATCAACTCTTCCATAATTAAAATCATGTCAATTTTCACTTCGAGAATAAATACTCGACGAGCAATTTTCACGTTTAGTTTAAATTGTACCTGAAGTTCTTCCTTGTAACAAATTAAACCGAGAATATTTACCATTAACAGTAAAGCTCATAGTAAATAACACTGACAACTAAACTTAATTTTATTGGTTCGCAAATTAATATGAGAAAAACCATGTAAGTTTAATGATTATACTTTTCTTTAGGTAATTCTCTTTTTTTTTTTTTGAGTATTTATTCTTTATCAGATTTACTTACCATTTATTGTAGGCAACAGACAATTCTCTCGAAATTCAAGCTCTTACAATAAGCATAAAGAAAAGGAATCGAAGGTAAGTATCATTACCCTTTTCTCCTATTCTTTTTGTAATTTTCTAATTATAAAATGTTATTCTCATCGTTTCTTTCGTTGACATGTTTTGATGAAAGAAATTACCGCAAAAGAAAATATATGGACAATACCTAATTATCTTACATTATCACGGTTAATTGCTTCCTCAATTATAGGATATCATCATATTGAATGATCGTTATGGTCTAGCATTAAGTGCATTTATATATGCTGGTTTCACCGATCTGGTATAATATAAA